AGTTTAATTTCAAGAGAAATCCTCAAAAATACTCAAATACATGGAAACTTAATTACCTACTCCTGAATGACTCCACAACTACTGAAGAAATAAAGACTGAAATCAAAAGGTTCATGGAAGCCAATGACAAAGAGGACACATGAGTTTCCATAATATTTGGGACACTGCTAAATCAGTCATAAGAGGGAAGTTCATAGCAATTAGTGCACATAAGAGGAACATGGAAAAAAGGTAAATGGGTCACCTAACATCATGCCTCACAGAATTGTGAAAGTAACAGCAAAAAGATAAAAAAAAAAAAAACTCCAGGAGAAAGGAAATAATAAAGATATGAGCAGAAATAAATGAAATAGAAAATAAATAAACTATACAGAAAATAAATGAAAACAAAAACTGGTTCTTTGAAAAGATAAAATTGATACACTACTAGCGAGACTTATTAAGAAGAAGAGAGAAAAGAACCAGGTGAATCAGATCTGCAATGAAGCAAGCAAAGTAACAACCGACATAGTAGAAATACAAAACATTAGAGGATACTATGAACATCTGTATACCAAGAAAGAAGATAATCTGGATGAGATAGACAAATTCCTGGTCACGTATAATCTACCTAGATTGAGCCAGGAGGATATAGTAAGTCTGAATAGGTCCATAACAAGCCAGAAGATTGAATCCGTTATAAATAAACTCCCTACAAAGAAAAGCCCTGGTCCTGATGGATTCATCTCTGAATTCTACAAAACTTTCAAAGAAGAGTTAACCCACATTCTGCTCAAGTTATTTCTAAAGATCTAAAAGAGTGAATCTCTCCATAATTCATTCTATGAAGCCTCTATCACCCTTATCCTTAAAACAGATAAGGGCAGGACAAGGAAAGAAAACTATAGACCAATATCCCTGATGAATATAGATGCAAAGATTCTGAACAAGATACTAGCAAATCTTATACAACAACTTATTTAAAAAAAAAAAACATTCAATCACATGTTACTCAGCTTGCAAAGTGAATATTCCAACATGTGTACATTTCTCACCAGTCAAGTTGAAAATACTATAAAGTTATCTTCAATAGATAATAACATATTTCTTTGTCCCATAAATGACTTGCTTCTCTATTTTTATCCTTAATGTCCATCCTCAGATTCTACTCCTTTACCCACCCACTTCTCACACTGTATCTTGTATTTACAATCATTGACTATGTTTCTATAACCTTT